TTGGTCAGAGAAATGTACATAATGGATATGACTTAAATCATTTTATTATTATTCTCTATGGCGCTTTTTCAGTTTCTCACCTTCTAATTTTTATGAATTTAATAAATCAATGCTACTAAATGTAAACTAAAGTTGAAACTAAATGTTAATTAAAAAATGAAAATAACTCCAGCTATATAACTAATTCTAAATTTAAAAAATACTTGAGGAAAAACAATTTTTTATTTGAAACGATTTTTCAAATAAATAATAGTTTTATGTCAAGTTTTTTGTAAATTGACATTTAGTTGTATAGGTGTAGTTATATAGCTGTGGAAAAGTTATGTAAAATTTCCTTTGCAAAGGAAACTTTTAAAAAAGTGCAAAAAAATTAAAACAGTTGAATTCAGCTATTATACTTAAAAAATCTCACATACATTAATCTTAAAAATTTTTTAATGCCATTCATAAAGAAAAAATTTCTCTATATATGATTTATAGAAACCTTTGTAATAATATATTTTAAATAATATTTTACAAACAAATTAATTAAGCCTTCTTGCGTACTTTTTTATCAGCAATTTATGTTCGCGTAGAGCTTTTTCAATGAAGCAACTTTTGATATTTTTTTAACTTTTAAATTACTCTATTAAGCGGTAAGATAAACGAAGTAATAAATTTTATAAAAAACCACTTTGACGATTATGTAAAAAAGTTTGAATGACAATTATGTTAGATATAAGCGCTATTTACGAAACGAAAAATTGCTATTTACTAATGAAAAAAATTAAAACTACAAAAACTTATAGTGATTAAGTTTTTGTTTAGCTAATTATTTTAGCTAAAAAAGATAAAATATTTTATTTTTATTTTAGATAAAAAAATTTTCAATGCGAATTTATTAAAAAAATAATAATAATAATTATATATAATAAACAAATTTATTTACAATCTTGAAAGGACAAGAATATTTATGCAACTTTTGATTGCATTGAAAAAATTTACTTAAATTCTTATATAGTAACAATTAATTTATACTGAATTTTTTTTATTGTAATCATTAATTTTTTCGCTTGAAAAAGGTTAATACTTTAAGCTTGAAGTAAAGATCATTATAATGTAATTTAGTTCTGATAAAAAATAAACGATTTAAATCAAAACTAATTTAATAAACATAATGTTATTCATTTATACAAATGTCGAAAAAAAGCAATATATTACATGAAAGTTTTTTCAATGTAATATCAAATTTAATTACTTAAATTAAAAAAAAAGTATGAAAAAACAAACATTTCCTAATAGAATTAATGGAAAATGAGTTAAACAATATTTAACAAAGAATATTTATACTATATATAACTGTCAAACAGAAAACAATGCATATGAAAATGCATATGAAAATGCATATGAAAACAATGCATATGAAAAAACTGCAAATGAAACTGAAAATCATATTATAACTTGTGGTGTTCCCCAGGGATTAATCCCTAGGGCCGCTTTTAATAATCTTCTATATAATATTGCCGAACTTAATAGTTTTAATAGTAGTGTCCCTTGGAGCGTATTTGACACGAAACCCTTGGCAGCCATTGCAACCGAGGTATTGGCAAGAAAGAGTGGCAGCGCTATAAGAAAACGTGAACGAACATCTAACGTACGTAAACTTTAACTTATGTAATGTTAAAGCATATGTTAAAACATACTGAAACATTTATCACGTTTTACAGTTTGATTTTTACATTGCGTCAAACTCTCCTTAATTTTGATCCAACATTTTTTTCCTCAAAAAAATTACTACATTATTATAAAATCTACACTTGGTGATATGCCGGTGTAGCTCGAGTGGGTAAGGCGGCGAACTTCTGAACAAGGAACTAGAGGTTCGACTCCTACCAAAGGTGGCTATTTTTTTTAATTTTTTTAATTATTTTAAAATACAAAATACTTTCGAAGTTTTATAAAGATTATATACAAACATATAAAGATTATATACAAACTCACAAAAGAAAAGTTTTTAAGAATGCTAAAACTTCATAAAACATTAAAAAAAAAAAAAAAAACATCACCAGGAGAATATATTGCGTATCTATGATAATTGAGACACTTATGTTATTAATGTGCGAATGTAATTAGTCCTAATAAGCTGCGGATGGTCTGAAAAAAAAGTTGTCTGAAACTTAATAAAGAAAAAACTTAACAAGACAGCCCTGCTACTTCATAAGATGCTGCTGTGGAGGTAAAAAAAAAAAAGCCTGTAGCTAGATAAAACTTTAAAACTTTCTTCTGACAATTAAAAGTTTATTTTGCTACATTAACTTTTTTACTATAAATATATGCAGCAAAACGCCTTAATATGCTTATGACGTAATTCAAAAAAAACCCAATTAAAAATAAAAGTTTGGAAAAACTCTTCGTAAAACGTTTTTTGAAACGAATAACTTTTATTTAGTTTTTTTTTTCTTTTGTGCAACTTTCTTTTCAATAAATTTCTTTACCTTTCAGAATATGACCATTTTTAACAATGCTATAGAAAAAATATCAGTAAATTGATTAGTAGTATTTCAATTATATTAATTAGATTAAATTATATATATTAAATTATATATTATGTATATTAAATTAAATAGATAAATAAATTGATATTCAGTTAATACATGGGTATTTTTTTTTTTTTATACTTAGTGACAAAATAGACTAATTAGATAAGTCGTTAAGTAGAATGCTAAGAATATATTTATGGCGGTTATTGTTGTTAAGGGTGATTAATAGGCAAGTAAATTAAAAGCTAATCAGGGCTTTGAATAAATTATAAACTAATCAGGGAAGTTTTATTGGTAAACCTAATAAATAGGAAGATAACATATAATTCAGGTAGACATTGTTTTCACTTTTTTGCCAAACTTTGATATCTTTGATATTAAAAAATATGACCTTTCCAATAATTATAGATGGTAGTGTATTAACCTTTTTTTTCGGAACCACAATTCGTTATGATTTGTATTTTATCAATGTGAACGAAAGTCTATTCAAAATCTAAATATGTAAACTTTAAGTTTTTTAATTATCAATCAGTATAATTATAAAGTAGATGACATCAAATTCTACCGAATTATTTTTACTTAATAATTTCATTGCGACAATATCTCTTTATTTTAAAGCATTAAATGTTGTTTTTTAAAGTTTAATAAGTTTTCTGTTTATTAAATAGTGTAAAAAGATGATATAGCATTCCACAGCGATTGAAGTGCTTCGCTTCGGTTCAAAACCTTTTGCTTACACAATTTTTTTTTAAATCCTATCCAGTTTTCTAGAAAACAAAGAAAAACAAGTTTAAATGCATATAGATGTTATATCTTAATTTACAGATTACTTTATTTATTTATTTTTTTGTCTCTACATTAGCACCTCAAGCAATAATATCAGGTAATCTGTTTAGCATACTTATGCAGTTTTATGGGTTTTATGTGTATTTAAACTTAATCATTACTGTTTTCATGCAATTACATAAATGTTTAACATATGTTACTTTATACACTTTTTTTTTTACCTTTACAATATCACCAATGTCATCATATGCAGTACCATCAGTAATGTGTTTTGCATACTTATGCAGTTTTATGGGTTTTATGTGTATTGGAGCTTAAGCATTACTTTTTTCATGTTTGTAAACAATTACATAAATGTATAACATATGTTACTTTATACACTTTTTTTTTTTTTACTTTCACAATAGCATCAATATCATCTGCAGTACCATCAGGTAATGTGTTTTGCATACTTATGCAGTTTTATGGGTTTTATGTGTATTGAAACTTAAACATTACTTTTTTCATATTTGTTATCAATTACATAAATGTTTAAAATATGTTACTTTATACACTTTTTTTTTTTTTTTTTTACCTTCACAATAGCATCAATATCATCTGCAGTGTCATCAGGTAATGTGTTTTGCATACTTAAGCAGTTTTATGAGTATTATGTGTATTAAAACTTAAAGATAGCATATGTTAATTTACAGATTACTTTATTTATTTATTTTTTTGTCTCTACATTGGCACCTCAAGCAATAATATCAGGTAATCTGTTTAGCATACTTATGCAGTTTTATGGGTTTTATGTGTATTGAAACTTAGGCATTACTGTTTTCATGCAATTACATAAATGTTTAACATATGTTAATTTATGCACTTTTTTTTTTTTTCACCTTTACAATAGCATCAATATCATCTGCAGTACCATCAGGTAATGTGTTTTGCATACTTATGCAGTTTTATGAGTGTTATGTGTATTGAAATTAAACATTACTTTTTTCATGTTTGTTATCAATTACATAAATGTTTAACATATGTTACTTTATACACTTTTTTTTTTTTTACTTTCACAGTAGCATCAATATCATCTGCAGTACCATCAGGTAATGATGTAATTTAATGTAAAAATTAAAGATTGCATATCTTATTTTGCACATCACTTTATTTATTTATTTTTTTGTCTTTACATTAGCACCTCAAGCAATAATATCAGGTAATCTGTTTAGCATACTTATGCAGTTTTATGAGTTTTATGTGTATTGAAACTTAAATTTTTTTTTTCATGTTTTCATGCAATTACATAAATGTTTAACATATGATACTTTATACACTTTTTTTTTTTTTACTTTCACAATAGCATCAATATTATCTGCAGTGCCATCAGGTAATGTGTTTTGCATACTTATGCAGTTTTATGGGTTTTATGTGTATTGAAATTAAATATTACTTTTTTCATGTTTGTTATCAATTACATAAATGTTTAACATATGTTACTTTATACACTTTTTTTTTTTTTTACTTTCACAATAGCACAATATCATCTGCAGTACCATCAGGTAATGTGTTTTGCATGCTTATGCAGTTTTATGAATGTTATGTGTATCGGAACTTAAACATTACTTTTTTCGTGTTTGTATGCAATTACACAACTGTTTAATATATGTGTTTGTTTATATACTTTTTTATTTATTTCCGCAATAGCAACAGTATCAACTGCAGTACCACCAGGTAATGTGTTTTCCATACTTATGCAGTTTTTCCGTACTTATGCAGTGTTATGTGTATTGAAACCTAAACATTACTTTTTTCATGTTTATATGCAAATACATAACTGTTTAATATATGTGTTAGTTCATATACTTTTTTATTTATTTCCATAATAGCAACAATATCTGCAGGACCATCAGGTAATCTGTTTTGCATACTTATGCAGTTTTGTGGGTATTATGTGTATTTGTGTAGGTATATATGAAATTTAAACATTGCATATCCTTATTTTTACATTACTTTATTTATTTATTTTTTTTGTCATAACTTTTTTTTTTTTTGAAGTCTAAATAGTTTTAAATAATATTTTTATTGGTTGTTTTGTGCAGTATTGCATTCAAATTTATTTCTTTTTTTGTTTTTGTTTTTTAGCATCGCATCAAGATTTCCTGCTATATCGCTCCCAGCACCCAGGTCCGATATCTCAAAGAGTTTTCTACCAGTGGAGTCAATATGGGGGAGGTGATCCCTCCTTTAGATGGAGGAGACAAGCCCCATATGATACCACTGGTAGAAGGAGGGGTGCTGGAAAGCGGTTTAACTCTTTTAATTTCTACCAGTAGCTTTTTTAAACTACTGGTAGAATTATCTTCTTTTTTATTTATAAAGAAAATTGACTTTTTAAAAAAATGTTTTTTTTTAATTTTGCAATTTTTTCTTATTTTAATTTATATACTTTTACTATTTTATTTTTTTGATTTTTAATTCTGTTTTTAAATCCTAAACTTACAAAGAACTCTTATGTTATAAAAGTTTTTATTAATTTGTCTATAAGTTTTTTTATTAATTTACGTTTTTACATCTTTTTATCCTCATTTTTAATTTTAATAATACTAAATTTTCTTTTGTATTAACTTTTATTTGTTAAGTGTTATATAGTTTTTGAAAGATTTGGTAAATATATTTAAAGTTTTTTTTTTTCTATGATATCTGTTTAATATGTCTAATATATGCACTATACACCTATTAATCTCTTTACGTTATTCTCTTTAGATATATTATAAAATAGTATTTAAAATCAGTTGTCAGCCACATGTGGTCTATATGATGCAACATGTTTGCAATTGTTGGCATGTCATTTAAAAATTTGTAACTAACTTTGCTTTTTAATATTACCATTAATATGACTTTTAAAATAATAAAATTTTTTGTTTGTTTCCAAAAATACTGTTTTATTACTTACAATATAGTATGTTATTACAAGATACTTCTGGTTTTTTCTCTGTTTCAAACCAGTTTAGTTATATCTTTTGTTCACAAATTTTATTAGACGCTATACACATAGTTTCATAGGTTTAAACTGATAAATAGCACTTTATTGTTTTTGTTCATTTTAGATTAGTATAGCAAAAAATAAATAAGATATTCGTTTATATATCTTTATTTATATTTATGTGCTTAAGTTTATATTAGTTGTTTCCATGTGAAAAGTGGTGTTACTTGGTAACGTGTAGTGCAAGATTGTGATTCTTGCTAGCCAAGCGGTGTTACTAATGATGTTACTTGGCACTTTATGTCAAGCGGTGTTACTAAATTGTGGTGTTACTTGGCAGCATTTAGTGCCAAGCGGTTTTACAAGTGTTTAGCTAGGTTGTGTTGTCTAGCTTTTTTAACTATTCTGGAAACACATAATCTGAATATTTTTTGTTATGTACAAACATTTTATGCTATGTGTATTCAGTAGCACTGGCAGGGTCTTTTGATGCTTCAGATAGCACTTTCAACCAAACTTAAGTGTATTCACGTTTATAGAATTAAAGCACTTTGCAAAAAATTGATGTTGTTAAAGCTTAGGAACAAATGCTTAAAAAAAGTGTTTTTCCTAACCTGAATTTTTTTAGACATAACAAAGTTAAACTCTTCAACAGCTTCTAAGTATATCTGAAACAACAAAAATCCTGCCTACACTATATATTCTATATATCTGAAACAAGAAATTCCAAACAAAAAATAATTCTATATATCTGAAACAACAAAAATCCTGCCTACACTACTGGTGTTATTGTTTGTCATCCTGTAATATTGTTGTGATGTTTTGTGTTAATAGACAGCTTGGCTTACCTGTACGTTGGTGTCTATTGTTAAAAATGATTATTGGGTAGCTTCATTACTGAATTTTACTCCTAATCATTCACTAAAAGCCAAGAAATATTTTAAGAAAAAGCCTTATTTTTTGTGTCAGTAAGAACTTTTATCTTTAGCAATGCTGATAAAACTGAATTTTTTAAAAAAAAGAGTATTTCCAGCCTTCCAACCAAATATTAGAGACTTTTACAAAAAGTGTCTAATATTTATTTAATATTACTAAATTTCGTTTCGTATTTTTCATTTTTCAAATGAATTAACATAAAACAAATAAATGTGCGTTCAGTGTTATTGATAATGATTTTATTTCATTTTTAGATAATGCTTTTATAATCAATTTAAAAGTCTTTCAAATCGTTAATCATTTTCTAAAGGCGAAGAAGAAGAATCATCAATCTTCATACCATTTAATAAAGCTATTTTAATAAAACGCAATACAAATTGTTGTAAATTAGTATTTGAATAATTTTCACGTTGCTACCTTATTTTGCAGTTTCCTATCACTTTGTATTGAATTAACTAAATCCAATATTACAGTTCCTTATATCAAGTACTTCACATTTTCTGTTTTTGTTTTATGCAGAAAAACAGATCAAGTTAATTTATTTGACTTGCCTAGCTACTTATTTTACACGCCTAGCGACAGTGAGTGTGCATAAATCAGCAGAGGATTTGGGTTTGGGCAGGTTGTCTTGAACTAAATGATTTACCTTCTTCATGTTAAGCTCTAAATATAAATATACGGAAAAGGTGCATATGTGAATTTTTTTTTCTAGCACATAATCTATTGTTCACTAAAAAATATTAGAGTGAGAAATAAAGATAAGGTTAATGTGGAATAGAGTTTGTCCTTTTAAGTGAAAAACTATTTTATAATCTATCTATCTTCTATATAATAATGCCAAACTTAATAGTAGTGTTAGTAGAAAGAGTCGCAACACTTTTTTTAGAAAAAAACGTGTATGCAAATATCTAACGTACGTAATTAAGTAATGATAAAACATACTGAAACATTTTTCAAGTTTTATACTTTGACTTTGACTTAAAAATTTCATTGCGTCAACCTCTCCTTAATTTTTGATCTACAGCAATTCCGTTAAAAACAATTTTTATATATTTTTAAGTTTTCGATATTTGATGTGTCAGCATGGCCGAGTGGTTAGCGCGTTAAGTCTCTGAACGTAATAGTCGTGGTTCAAATTTACCGTCAGCGATTTTTTTCTTTAAATTACAAAATAGTTGTGAAGTTAAACAAGTTAAATGTTATACACTTTAACCGTTTTTTTTTTTTTTTTAATTTTATAAATTTTTCGGATTTCTTAAAACACCAATAAACGTGGCGAAAATATTTTGCGTGTGTGTCACGATTTTAATACTGTTCTCGCATAATTGGTCCTAATAAGACGGATAGTCTTAAACAAAAAGGTACTAAAACCTAATAAGGAAAAAATTTGATAAAACCGTCCTGCTACTCCACATGGTATTGCAGTGGAGGCAGGGAAAAAAAAAGCAATTAAAAGGTTTTTTGTTATATTTAATTTTTTGCTATAAATATAGCCAAATTAAAAAAATTTAAAAAAATGTTTTGAGATTTTTTAGGCGCGGATTTGAAGCCTTGCACAGCGACTCTGATGACTGCGAACTTGTGAGCTATCATAGTTATGCATGTAGTTAGGTGCTTCAACATTTTTTTAAAAATGTAAAATGAAAACAAAATAAATACCATAAGTAAGAGCTAAATAATAACGTTTAAAAATTACCAAACTTTTTGTTATAATATAATTAGTTTTTCAACTTTTAAACCACAAAATTTATAATTTATTTTTTTGCATGACTTTTGACGCATTAAGCGACTAACGTTTTAAAGAATTGCATTACCGTTTCCGTCTAATACAAAGATAACTATGAAAGACCGTTATTATTCAAAAGTAAGCTTATAATAATAATAAATATAGTAAACTATTGAATATGGCTAAGACGCGACCATAAACCGTGGTCCATGGCTGGTCTAAAAGTAGGAAGTAGTTTAGTTCAGAATTTAAAAAAAAAAAAATAAAGAAACGGGGTATAATAAGCTATATACGCATGCGGAAAAAGTGCGTATGTTAAAGTTTTTTTTTGCTCTTAAAGCAAATTTTTTTAATGAATTTTTTCCACAGTTTACTAAAAAATATTGAAGTAAATAAAGAACAAGTAAAGAAATGATTGGCGTCAAATTGATAAATATAGAAGTAGAAGAAAAGACCTGTATTTACCGATACGGACAGCTAGATTAAGAAAATAAGGCAAAAGGTTTGTGTGGAATAGACTTACAAAGACCCGTATTTTTACGGGTCAGTTCAGCTAGTACTCTATATTAATGATTTATACTTAGCATCCAAAGTTTTAAATGTTATTTTGTTTGCTGATGATTGGAATTTTTTTTACTCACACAATGATATAAAAGAACTGTTTAGAATATTTAACGAAGAATTATTAAAAATAAATGGCTGGATTACAAATAATAAATTTCATTAAATGGTGAGAAAACTAAATTTATCTTGTTCCACAAACCTCGTAGGGGAGATAATCTTCTCTAAAATTACCCAATTTCTCTATGAATAAAACATTTATTAAAAGAGACCCAGTGGGCACAAGAACGTTTTGCAAACTTTTTTTTAAGGTCCCGTGAAAACGTTTTTTATTGGTTTTTTAAAGGTCCATATGAAACAGTGACCGGACGTTTTTCTAAAACGTTTTTTGAACGTTTTGAAAGGGTCTCACAAAAAAGTTTTTTATTGGTTTTAATTGCGTCCACATAAAGCGGTTCAATATATATTTTTTCCTAACATTTTGCAGAACTTTGTTTTCTTTTAATAATAACGGTTTTTTTTTTAATTATAAGTTAAACAAGAATTATTATTTTTTGCCTAGTTAATAATAACTTATAAAAATTTTTATTCAAGCAACTTTGTTTTTTTCCGTAAAATGATTTTTTTCGCATTAGTTAATAAAAACTTATACTAATTTTTATACAAGTTAGTTATAGAATGTAAAAAATTATTTTACAAATGCAAATTTAGCCTAGATTCGCATAGACTTCGCAAAGACTTTCATAATAAATAAATTTCTAAAAATTTAATTATTTTGTTTTTATTTATAATGTAAATATACATAAAAGAAATAAAATAATTTGTTAAGTTAATCTATGAGGAGCTCTCTTCAAATGATCGCTAATTAACTTGTTGACCAAATCGAATGTGACACCAATTTTTCTAAAAATAGAACACCATAAAAATCATTTATGCATTTTATAACATGCATACAAATAGTGTTACATTATACACAAACTATTACATAAATACTCAGGGTGAATTATATGTATAAACATTATGTTTAGTTTATATAACAATTTTTGAAAAGTAGTTATCATTGGATTATGGAATAAAAAATTACCTATAATTGCTTTATACAATAATGTTTTTTGAAACGATCTTTTTCCGTATCTTCCTGCTTTGTGAAACAAAGCTTGGACACTTTTTGTCATAGTTTCGTCGAAAACCTTATTAACTGACGCTGATATTGAATTTCCACCTATTAGTTTAAGTTGACGGACTTATAATGATAAGTATCAATATCAACTTTTTAAAATTAGCATAAAATTAGCGTAAAATTAGCATAAAATTAGCATAAAATTATTATAAAATTTGCACAAAAATAGCATTTAATTCGAATAACTATATAATAATCATACCATCAAACGAAACTTTTCGTTATTATTTAAAATTATTTCTCTTTCATCAAATTCTATTATATTCTTGCATTTATCCATAAAACATAACGAATCTTCTGGCTCTGTCCTTCTTCCCAGCTTTTCCACTGCAGACAAGCAAATTTTTATTTCAGATTTTATGGTTGCTAACTCCATAAACATTGCATATTGAAAATTTATAATAATAAATTAAAACACATTTACGTATTTTTATAGAACTCAATTAAATTATTCTGTTAATTTATAAAAATAAATGTATAATTTAAAAACATTTGAACAAGGCTCAAAATTTTTTAACATACGTCTTTCATCCATGGCTTCAAAACTTGCAGGTGGTTCATCATAACAATAAGTTCCTGCAATCTCTCTGGAGTGTCTTTTTGAACTTGTTGCAAAAATGAATCATGTTGATTTGATGCAGATAAAAAAGTAGATTGAAATTCAAAATCCTCTTCTAAATTCGAAATATCGTTTTCTTGATATTTTCGAGTAGATACTATCTTAGGATCCTTTTTAGGGGGTACAAAAAATCTTGAAGAAAATAAAGACGGTTCAGTAACTCTTTGCACAGTAATATCAGGACTTCCTTCTCTTATGTGCAATAGATTATCATATGTTGCACTACTACATTCTGAAATTGATTTTAAAAATAAAAATACAAAACTGCATTATTTTATTAAATCTAATAAAGTACCTGAATAAAAAAAACTATTAATTTTAAAAATCATGTTAAAGTTTTAAAAAACTATTTTCTTGAAAATCAGAATTTAAAAACTCTGAATTCAATTTCATGCATGCATCGCACATCTCTTTTGTTCCATTGTCAAGATTTAATTTTATCAGTGTATATATATACTGAATTTTTTTGTTTGACTAATATAACTTTAGAAAAATGTATTTATAAGACTAAACATTAAACGTTGTAATAGATAATAAAAATAGCCAATAAAGATAAAAAAATATAACAAAGTTTAGGTTAGCATAAATTGTGCAATAGTTTACTAATAACAAAGCCGTCTTTTACTGGCAAGCAAAAACATTTGTTTACCAAAGTATCTTTATGTTTAACTCTGACAACGTGTCGAACATTGCTTCTTAAGAAGTATATACCTAAATCCTTTGAGTTTAAAAAGTGTGTGAAATAGTTATCCATACAATCTTTTCTATAATAGAAACAAGAGTATTTGTTATAACCAAAGTTAGCTTTTACTAACAAAATCCGTACTGAAATTGATAGTCTTAAAAAATGTTTATAAGTACATAAATCAACTATGTCTTTTAATACAATCATAACAGAATATAATAAAAAAGACCGTAACTCTGTTGCTTTCCATCTATCTAAATCAGAAAGACATTTAGGCTGTCTAGCAAATCCACTTGGTAACTTTCCATTGATTTGAAATAAACTATTAGAAATTCGGTCTAACATTTTTAAAGAAATTTTCCATAATTGGTACCTTTAATCCCACCCTTAAAAAAATATAGAATTCTACGGGTAGCTCCGAAACAAATAAGGTGCATATAGTCAAAAAGAAACTTGTTTATAAAATTAAAATAATGTATTTCACTGAAGATAAATTTTTCGTGTTGATGACATCTTCCATTGTTATCTTTTTCGGCATATTTATAATTTCTAAACCCAATATTTGTACGCAAATCTACATTTACTTCCAAATGAGAAAAAAACAACTCGGTTTAATATACTTTTTTCCACAACTGTACATCGTTCACAAGAATGATAACCATTGTGATTAACTACACCTTTCAATAAAGAGCGAGCGGGGACATCACAAACTAAAGCATAAATTTGGATCATATAACTTTTGCCATTAACTAAAATTGGAGTGCTTGTTAATGTTTTAAACTCTTCTGAAAAATCCTTCAAAAATAAATAGCTTTAGGTTTTATTGAACTGCAATACATTCCAATCAAAAATGGATTGTAATCTTTAATGAGACCAACAATAGGCCATAGCTGTGTAGAGCTGAATTTGTACAATGGCAAACCATCTATATTAAAGCTTAAAGAAATGTTAATATCCGGAATTGAATGACAATTTATTTGTTTCGTGATCTGTTTTTGCAATCCCAGATATATATACTTGCCACCATCAATATTTTTGGAATAAATATTTCTTTTTGTTTTTAATAAAGTCCTACTGTCCAGAAGCACTTGATCTTTAAGATCAGAAAATATGGCCAAAATTTCATTTGTGCATCGTCTGGTACAGTTTTTTCGAAGTGACTATTCTTTTAATTTTAAACCTAATATATGGTCATATTCTTTTTCATTACCAGAAATCAAATATCTGTAGTCAAAAAGATCATTACTACTTTCATCAAGTTCTAAATTTTGGGATAAATTATGATACCCAATATCATCACTGATAGATCTTGGTAATATAAACTCGTCAAAACTGGGTTCATTTAAATCATCAATAAATTCTGTTTCTTCTTCAACAGCCTGAAAACTATTGGTTCGGAAAGCCGAAGAACTTTTTTGTTTGTTTCCAAACTTTTCTTAAACATCATTTCTATGCGATCTCCATATACTAAATTAATTATTATTATCCCATTTACATTACAAAAATATATTCGAAAAATATGTTTTATACAGTGAACTATTCAAAAATACCTTGAATTTGTTTGTTTCACTTTTTCTTTACTGATCATTACTAAGAACATATGTAAAATTAAATAATTATATTATATTATATATACATATATATATATATATATATATATATATATATATATATATATATATATATATATATATCAAAATACAACTATAATAACTAATACTTAACTGTATAGCTATATACTTATAATATATATATATATATATATTATATATATATATATATATATATATATATATATATATATATATATATATATATATATATATATATATATTTATATTTAAATATATAATTATACAGATATATATATATATATATATATATATATATATATATATATATATATATATATATATATATATATATATTATGTATGTATATTTATATATATATATATATATATATATATATATATATATATATATATATATATATGTATATATATATACATATTTATATGTATATATATATATATTTATATATATATATACATATATATATATATGTATATATATATATATATATATATATATATATATATATATATATATATATATATATATATATATTTATATCAAAATACAGCTATAATAACTAATACATAACTGTATAACTATATAGTTATAACTATATTGTTATATAGTTGTAAATATATATAATAACGTAACTAATACAAAAATAGCTATAGAGTTTTAAATAATACAAAAATGTATTATTTATGGTTGTATAATCAGCTAACCAAATACATCTATTTGGTTAGTAAGTTAGTAGCCTAGCTAACCAAATACATTTATTTGGTTAGCTAGATAATAGTTGTATACAGCAACAGAGATTACTAATTTTATAACAAAACTATTCTAAAAATGTAATATTTTACATAATAATATTAAAAGATTCCCAAGGAATATAGCAAAAACCATAAAACTTATAATAGTTAGGTTTAAAAATGCTTATTTGAAGTTAAGGGATTTGTACTGTTTTGATATCAATTTCAGTACAGAAATTTGGACTGAATTGATAAGATGTCAAGCCACGATCTTTTAAAATATGGACATGCGCAGTTCCGCGTTTAAAATTTGTAAAAAAACGTTTGAAAAACATTTTTCAAAGGTCCCGGTAATATGGAATTTGAAAAAATATATAATTTAGAAATTATATTTGATGAAAACGTTTTTAAAACGTTTTAAAACGCTTTCTCGAGCGACCATTATACGTTTTAAAAACATTTGCAAAACGTTCCTCTGCCCACTGGGGAGTCAACTGTTAACTTTCTAGGAGTGATTATAGATTAAAACTTATTATGGAAATATCATATTAAATCTATTGAAAACAAAATCTCCAAAAATATTTCAATGTTATATAAATTTAACTATTTCTTAGTATTGAGTCTTTAAAAATTATATGTTTTTCATTTATTCATAAATATCTTTCTTATTACAATATTGCATGGGGAAGTACTAATTATGGGATTCTAAAAAAATGTATAGTAAACAAAAATATGCATGTAAGATTATATTTGGCGTTAACAGAACTGTTATTGGTGAATCTCTACTAGGCGAAATTTATTCACTTAATGTTTATAAAATTAATATATACCAAGTTATGCTTCTAATGTTTAAATCAAAACATGGGTTGTCTCCTAATTTATTTCATTTTTACTTCACTGATATCACTCATGAATACCCCACAAAATTTTTAGTTGATATGTTTGTTGTTCCAAGATTTCATTTAAAACTCAGCTCATTTCAAATTCAATACCGTAACCCATTTATATATAAAAGCTTTTGAAAAATATTATTAAAAATAAAACTCTTCCAAACTTCTCCCTTGAACAATTCAAAAAAGAATCTAAGCGTTTTCTATTTTAAAAAAACTTCAAATTTAAAAATTTCTTTCAAAAATAGTACCTAAAATAATAAAACTGAATAAGCCATCACAACTCGGTTATTTTTGTCTTGATTTATTTCTTATCTATAATATATATATATATATATATATATATATATATATATATATATATATATATATATATATATATATATATATATATATATATATATATATATATATATATATATATATATATATATATATATATATATATATATATATATATATATATATATATATATATATATATATATATATATATATATATATAGTATATATATATATATATATATATATATATATATATATAAATATATTTATATATATTTATATATCTTTAAAACTTTTTAACAGTACTTGTTGTTTTTATGTCATCATTAGTTACGTTTCGTTAGTTCATTACTATTTATACCTATAACTTAGTATGTATAAATGATTGTTGTACGGAAGTTAGTATTGATTTAATTTAATTATTAAAATTTTTTCTTCATTGTTAATACTATTACCCTATTAACTATTGAATCAATATTGTTATTGTGATTGTGCTGTGTTTATTGTTATCATATGTATGTATTGTAATTATTATTATATGTTACATTACTCTAAAATTTAGGAGTAATGTAACACCAAATAAACTAATCTGAAGTAAACACCAAATAATAATAACAATCAATAATAATACATAAAAATGAAAACAGTAATGACACATAGTATATAATAAAAAATTTAAAAAATTAATTTTTATTTAGACATAAATTTAAGTATTTAATAGTTAAGTAAAGACATTAACTATTAATGTCAAAACAATAATAATACATAATATTTTATACTATTTATTATTAATTTAAAAATACATAGTATATAATACTATGTAATATTATTGTTATAATTATTTTCTTTTTATCCGTTATTATTCTATATTAGGCGTTTACTTCAGACTTGTGTATTAATATTTGTAAATGTTCTTGAACTGTAACAACTTTTATATTAAAATATATATATTGATATAAAAATATATAATTAAATTATAAATTTTTATATAATTATATATATAATTAATAATAACTTTATTCAATTGTAACTCTTGTTCTTCCATCTTTACCAAATTAAAAATTAATACTCATCGTAAATCAATAGAATTAAATTACTTTTTGAAAATGCTATCTTGATCACGAGCATGCAAAAGTCTTTATCGGTTAAAGCTAGATATTGTCGTTAAAAATACATTTCCTCTTTTACTAAAATCGCAGACCTAGAAAAATCTAAACGAATGCGTAATTTGCATGTTTTTTAAAACGATGATAAAATTCATCATAATCATAAGAAATAAATAGTGTGGAAGCAAATAATAGCGCTTTGTATATGTTTTTGTTCCAGAAATTACTCGTTCTCATTCTTCCGAAGGTGCACAGTAAACAAAAACATCTCATAGCGAAAGTATGGGTCTCCTTATTTTCTTAATACTTTTACATAAAATTTAAACAACTGTAATTTATTTCAGTGAATAGTTTACAACTTTCTTTATCATTATTTGTTCTTGCAAGCTTAGCATTGGTAAAAAAAAAGATTTATTCAAAATTATGCAAAACTGCTTTGTCCCATGTCAATAAGACGAAGTCTAAAATTACTAAAAAAGTCTTTGAAATAATTTTTCTTCAGTCTAAAACATGAATTTAAATAACTATGAAAATTAAAAACGAAATATATATATATATATATAATATACTTATATATATTATATATATATATATATATATATATATATATATATATATATATATATATATATATATATATATATATATATATATATATATATATATATATATATATATATATATATATATATATGTATATATATATATATGGTATTATGCATAGAAGTGTTAGGTGCTAAACTAAAAATGTAAGTGTGGCAAGGACTCTCTGAACATTAATGCATAATTTTTTTTTTTTTTTTTGTACTTGATCGTTAAATCAATTTGTAGACTCGTAACAATTTATCATACACTGACCATATTTAGACAGAATAATATTTGAAAAATACAACAGTTTTTGTGTACTTAGCTTAATTTAACCAAATGTTGTATTTAACATTTCTGCAAAAAATGCCATTAATATATATATTTATTTAGTTGTGTCAATGAATTAAAAACGAATAAAGTCTAGAATTAGAGAAATATGTGTTTACACAAAAATTTTTAATAAAATATATCAATTAGGATTTTAATTTTAATAGACTTGACTATATAGAACAGCAATTAAAAAAATAAATTTCCTACATACAATGTTAAACTACAAAAATATTAGGCAAAATATTAGTAATAATAATTTATAAATACTAATTTATTTGTCATTCTCAGAATTTTTTATACAAACAAAAAAACTTACAAAGATTTGAAAAAATGATTTCAAAAATATATTTTAGTTAAATATTTTTAATTGGCAATACAATAAAAGTCTCACTCAAAGTATATCCAAAACTACTCTATTATTAAAAACAGTAAAGTAATTTAAGAATTTTGAAGCTATTGAAAAAAATGTAACATTTAACATTCATATTAGTTAAATGTTAAAAAAACATCAAACTTAAATACATTTTATTGCATTTGCTTATGCACATTATAAAAAGTAAAGATAACTTGGAAAATCTACTCACCGTTGATAAAAACTGCTTCTTATTAATCATGAATAGTAAAATCCAATCATTGAAAAAATATTTTATAAAAAAATTTTTTATAAAACTAGTTAAATTAAATCTCAAAACCAGTCTTCAGTTCAAATTCTTAAAGAGAGTAGGGTTAAATAAAGTTTCGTTTATCTTTCTGTGCACCTTCAGCGGGTCATTGGTACGAGTTTCAACATAAAACGACAAAACAATAGAAACTGCCTTTATTTCCGGACTATTTATTCTTATGACTATGAGTTTATATAACAGCTAGTGCGCTAAATACTTTTTATTTATCATTTTATAGCACTCACTTAACGCGTGCCTCACCACTTTACTCACCACCCACCTCGCGCGCTAAGTGCTATTAAATGTCATTTCATAGAACCTACTTAGCGCTCAAGGTGTTTTAGGAATAATAAGATCATTTAGGAATATTAATATCGCCTTTAAAGTCTAAAATTTAAATTTTATAATATTTATAATTTTATTTCATATAATTCTATTATTGATAATAATTAATAATATATAATTAAATTAATTATATATGATTAAATATAAATAATTATCATTATATTATAGTTATATATAATTATCATTATGTAAATATAGTTTTATTAATTTTATAGAACTTTATGTTATTTAAAAATGTTTTAATTATTTAAAATATTTTAAAACTTAAATCTATTTTAAGTAATTTTGTCTAAAACTTTAGTATAAAATATAATCTAAAAATCGGTCTAAACTTAGACCGCATCAAAGACCTCCTTTCGACGTCTTGGATAAACGCGAAGGAAACAAAGTAAACGAAGGAACGATAGATTCCTTCCGTGACACAAGTTTTGGTGGCTATAACAAAAAAGTTATTATTCCACATGCATTATCTTTACCTGAAATTTAATAAGTACTGATAGGTAGCATCTTAGGTGTTATTGCCCCCTTCTAAACGTTTTTATTTTTTTTTTTGAATTTCTAATTTAGTTTATAAAGGTCATTCCTTTTGAAAAACAAAAGACTTTTTAATCCTGCCCATATTTATATATGCGTTTATGTTTATAGAAGCAATACGAAGAAATTTGCTGACAAAAGATACCACATACAGCGAAATTTAAAAGGAAGTTGTGGCTTTTTTTTCTGCAGCTCTAGACAGAAATAGAAAGAGAAAAGAAAGAGCAGAAAAAAAGTCCATCCAAAAACCAGTTTAACAAAAAATCGTGGCTATACTGCCCAATCATTGACATTGAAACCTATATCTGGATTATCATTACCACGATTTGAACGCTTTATTTAAATATTAATACTCATATGAGTAGTGCGCATAGTTACGCTTATTGTTTTATAGTTACGGTACGGTTCTGAATTTTGTAAACAACACTTTTTAATTAGTTTCTTGACTTTTCTTAACAGCGCACTCTCTTAAAGAAGTCACAACTTTTCATGGTACGAGTTCAAAATGTCTAAGTAGATAATGTTTAATCTAAGTAGATAGGTAATATAAAATCTTTTTAAAATTTTATAAGTAATTAATTTATTTTAATCTCTTTTACATTGTGCTTTAAATTTAAAGCTTCGTGTTATAGATGTTAATATTGAAAGTATAGATATTACTATGGTGTCTATCGTTAAAAGATATTTATGGGTAGTTTCATGCTTTCACATGCTTTTAATAATTGGAATAAAAGCCATGACAACATTTTTTAATAAATAAAATTTATCTTTTTTTTTTTTTTAATTTTAAATTTAAATCTTCGCTTCTAACAAGGCTGCAAGCAACCACTAATTAGTGTTGGAAGTTACTCGAGGAGAAAAGATGAAGATTGTAGAGCAGAATAACGATTGACAGACAACTTAAAAGATTGCAAATTATAAAAATCAGGAACACAAGATAAAGGAAGTGAATTCCAAAGAACTGACGTTCGAGGAAAAAAACTAGACAAATAAGAGTTTTTCGAGCACTAGGGAACAGTAACAGAAAAAGGATGAGACTTAATTAAATGACGAGTAACACGAGAATGATTTTTAGTAGATGGCACAGGAGACGCTAGCTCTTTAGAGCAGTGCCCATTATAGTATTTGTAGAAAAGAGAAAGAGAAGCAACATTACGACGATGTGACAGAGGTTAAAGGTTGGCTGCAAGAGTAGGTCCTACTATGTTTACAATGCGTTTTTGCATCTTGTCTAAAAGAGAAAGGGCATCATTAGAAGATCCGCCCCAGATATGGCAACAGTATTCCATACAAGGCCGGATTTAAGATTTATAGAGATAGAGAATAGAATCCAGAGTAAGAAAGTGACAAGCTCAATAAAGTGAAGCAACTTTAGCAGATGCTAATATAGCAACAGATTTGATATAAGGTTTCCAAGAAAGATCAGAAGTAAGAGATAATCCTAGAAGATGAAGGGTAGGAGACTCATCGAGTACATTACCGTTCATAAATATAGAATGGTCTAAGTTATTGCGATAACGATTGGCCGAAAAAAATTGAGTTTTACCTGAATTAAAGTTTACAAGCCACTGTGAGCCCCATGCTGTAGCAGAAGTGAGATCATTTTCAAGTTCAGATGCCCCCTGCAAGCAATCAGAGGGAGTTAGCTTTTTATCGTGACAAAATTAAATGGTAGTATCATTAGCGAACAATGCCACCTTAGATGTAAAAATATCTGAAAGATCGTTAATGTAAATTGAAAAACGTATAGGGCCTAGGATTGAACCTTGGGGAACCCCTGAGGTTACAGAACAAGAAGAAGAGTGCTGTCCATTAAAAACAACTTTTATACTACGATTGGAAAGAAAGGATTCAATATTCTTGAAGATGTTTCAGATACACCAAAAGAAGAAAGCTTATGGAGGAGACCAGCATTCCAAACTTTATCAACGCTTTAGAAATGTCAAGAGCAATGGCCTTAACCTCTCCACCTTTATCTAATACGCTATAAAACCTATCGGTTATTACTGATAGCAAATCAGCCGTAGAACGAGAAGATCGAAATCTATATTGATGATCAGAAAATAGGTTATGAGATTCGAGATGAGAGATTAAGTGTTTGTTAATTAAAGATTCAAAAACCTTGCTTATGATAGGAAGAAGACTAATGGGACGGTAGTTAGATGAATCAGATCGCTCTCCAGAATTTTTTAAAATAGGGATAACTGATGTTGCTTTCCAGCAGGCTGGAAAACAAGACTCTGATAAGCACTTGTTAAATAGTTTTGAAAGGATAGACGACAGCTCCGGAGAACACTTCTGGAAGACTATAACAGGTATGTTGTCCGGGCCGCAAGCTGTAGAAGAGTCTAAGCGGGAAATCACTTTAGATACAGAAGCTGGAGTGATATGAATGTCGAGCAATGGATTAACCTGTTTGACGGCTATATCAGGTAGAACGCAACTAGTGGCATCAAGAGATGATATTGATGAAAAGAGGTGACAAAGTCTGAACCATACAAAAGAGATGGAATTACAGACTTGCCCTTATTACTGATACTATTAAATATTCTCCAGAAGTCACGAGAGCCTAATTTTTGTGATGAAATACGAGATTTTATGATCTTAGATTAGCGGCTTTGGCATTAGACAAATCTATTTTACAATGGTTCCGAGCAGTAATAAACAGACGTCTGTTTTCTGGAGAATTGTTTTGCTAATAGATATGGAAGTAATGGTTTCGATTCGCAATTGCAGCACCACAATGTGAGGAAACCAATGAGAAGAGTAATGCTTGACCTGGAATTTTTGAGAGGGAATAAAGGATTCCATGGCAGCCTAAATCCACGAAGTTATGTAAGAAGCACATTTGTCAACAGGGAGACAAAAGATTTCCCAGTTCCATCACGAAGAAAATTACAGAAAGAGTTCCAGTCAGCTTTAAGGTATTGTAAGATGTACAATGATAGGGGGATTCTGATGGTAAAAAAAAAAGAGATGATAGATTTAGAGAGAACAAACCATGATCAGACGCACCTAAGGGTGAGTGTGAAGAAACTGAGCACTGACTAGGATCAGAAACAAGACTATACATATCTATAGTATTGATAATAATACTTTGGCTCTTTGAAAAAAAATATATTACTGGCTTTTCAATAAATATATAATAATTTGTCTTGCATTAATGAATTTTGGTTTAGGATATAATTGTGTTATTATATGTTTGTTTTTCTGTACTTAATGTAGCATTTATCATTTGCATACATTTTTATTTAAGTTTAATTGTTTATAATTTATTTAGATTATTAGAAAATTCATGTTTATAGAGTTGTTATTTAATCATAATCAAGTTGTTAAACCTAGAAAATTGTATAGGTTTATTTATCAATTTATACTATAAATTTTATAATAATATTAGAGGGAACGAGGTAAAAAGCATTTTTAAATTTTTAAAACGAAATAATACTTTTCAATATATATCTGTTTTTTTTTAAGGTAGATTTAAATTTTCAGGTTTTCAAAATTGTAGATCTTTTCAATGTCTAAATAGACATTAAGTATTTTAATGTCTAATAGACATTAAGTTTATAAAATATCTTTTTAAAATTTAATAAGTATTTTTTCATTAAGTAATTAATTGTTTATAACTTATTAAGATTTAAACTATTAGAAAATTCATGTTTACTGAGTTGTTATTAATCATAATCGTGTTGTTGAACCAAAGAAGTTGTAGAGGTTTATTTATCAAATATATACTAAATATATTATATAAAAAATTTTGGTTTTCATATGTTTCACAAATAAATAGTTCTATATATATATATATATATATATATATATATATATATATATATATATATATATATATATATATATATATATATATATATATATATATATATATATATATATATATATATATATATATATATATATATATATATATATACATATCCCAGACAGCAAGCTTTCATTGGCCCAACGTAACTTTTAACATTGGCAAGCTTATTCTGTTGGGCCAACATTTAGCCAATGTTTTTTTTTGGCGTATTATTTTCAATTCTGCAAATCGGTTTTTTGCAAATATCGTACTATATTGGGCCAACATTTAGCCAATGTTTTTTTTTCGGCGTAATATTGCAGTTCTACAAATCGGTTTTTTTCAATTATCGTACTACGTTGGGCCAACATTTGGCCAATGTAGTTTGGGCCTAATATTTTGCTGTTCTTACATTTATACCGTAGCCACTATTCGGTCAATGTAGTTACGGATTATTATATTCTTTTAAATTGTTTCAAAACATTTTTTAAAAATAGTATCGTTTGACAGAATAAAAAAAGGTTTTGATACTGTTATATATCTTTCCATTTATTTAAATTATAAAAATAAAAAAAAGAAGCTATATTTATTAATCTTCTAATAAGAAGTAAATTTTATCTACTAATCAGATTGTTGATCTTCTAATAAGAAGTAAACTTCAAGAGATTCTCGTGACTTAATGTTTTGTTTTTTTAAATGATATATTTGTTAACATTTAAATAATATGCTTAAAACATTTTTAACTACAATCTAAACTATTAATGTAATAATAAAGGCAATAATCAAATTATTTTTGTGTAAGATCTTAAAGTTATTTTTTTATTTTTATTGCTGTATTTGCATTTCAAATGTTTGTTTTATTTGATAATCTTTATTAAATTTAATTTATTAAATTTTATTATTATTTTATAAAATTTATTATTATTATTTACAAATAAATGAAACATTTCAAATGTTCGATTTATTTAATAAATATGATATTTTTAATGCCTTCTTTATTATATAAATCAAACATTTAAAATGTCAAACAGTACAATTTTTTTTTTCATTATTTATAATAGTTTAGATTATATAGCTATTATAAGATATATTGTTAAAGATATCAATAATATATATGTGGCATTGAAGTTGTTAGAAGCTGATATTTTACATTTTAAATATGTTTCTTTTGTTTGATTTTTTCTGTGCTTAATTATTAAACCCTATCTACTAACATATTAAAACAGTGTACAAAAAGTGATGTTACTAGAACTTATATTTTACTTATGTAAAGCTTTCTAATATTCTATCTATCCGAGGCAGAGGGACATTATTCTTGGTTTAATTATTTTTTAATTTAATATCTATGGATATTTTTCATGTTTAGTTTGCGTACAACAGTTAACAACTTCAAGCTTATACATTAACTTTAGTTATAACTTAATTATTATAATTTGATTTATAGATTTTTAAAGCAATACAACATTGAATTTAGCATAAGGCTAAATTTCTACTCTGAAGACAAAAAAAGAAAGACAGCAAAAATGACCAGTCAAAATAAAGATTGAAGAGACTAAAAATTGTGTATATCTTGGTGTAGATGATTTATCCTCATTTTCTTATAATAAAACAAAAAAGATTATTAAACTTTGGGATTTACCTGTAACTCCAAAATCTTTACAGAAATTTAATGTTTGCTCTGAGAAGTTGAATGAACAAATTTATTAAATAATCTAATGATTGAAAATCTTTATTCATAGCTTTAACTTTTACTATTTTAAAAACTTTTTCATATATCACGGTCAAAAAGTCAGAGTGTTAATTATCATTTTAGTATGTAATAATCAAAATATCAAAGCTTACACCACAGGCTTGGTCAGAAAGCGGTAGCGATCGCTCTCGAATACTGACCAAGGAAAATATATTTAGCTGCGAAAAACTGGCCGGGTTTTTTAGTTGTTTTGAGAACATTTAAGTTATGAACGTAACAAAAATTTTTTGTTGGATTTCAAAGTTGGTGTCACCAACTTTGAAAACCATTTGAAATCAAATGTAAAAAAAAACAACAGTATTTGTATATATATCAGTATTCATATTAGTTTAAAGTTTGAACAGTTGCTGCTGATTCATTATTATTCATTATATAAACATTTACTTAATTTTATCTAATAGACGAAGGTAAGACAATATTTTTATAGATGATAATAATTTTTAAAATAGTGTTATTAAAATTCAGAACTAAAATATGTTAAAAAAATAATTTACATTGGACAAGGTCCGTACTGTACCTTGAAAATCTGGAAAATTTGTTAATATTGGCCAAAGTCGTGGAAAACCTGGAAAAGTCAGGAAATTATTTTTTTTCTTTAGATAGTCATGGAAAAATCAGTAATTCTAGTTAAGAAGTTACTCCTTTCACAAATGAATGCTGTATTTTGAAAACGTGATGAGTCACACTTTTTTTAAAAGTGAGGTTATTTGAAAAGAATATTTTCAAAAAAATATTCTTTTCAAATAACCTCACTTAAAATAAAAAAACATTAAGATAAAATAAAGATTTTTTTAGATAAACTAAAGATTTTTTTAGATAAAATAAAAATTTTTTTAGAAAAAATAAAGATTTTTTTAGATAAAATAAAGATTATTTTAGATAAAGTAAAGATTTTTTTAGAGAAAAGAAACAATTTTCAGATAAAATAAAAATAAAATATTTTACAGGGAAATATTTTTCACTCCCTTGTAAAATTTTAATTTTGTGACATGTCAAATTTTCAAAATACAACGCTCAATTAAGCTATTTTTTTCTTTTTTTGGTGCTACTCATTTATTTTTCCTGAAACTTTTGTTTTTCTTAGTGTTCAGTCTTAGTCGTCCTTAAAGTACAACTTAATAAACTACAAAACACATCAAATTCAGTTATAAAAATTTGAGTAACAAAGGTATACTAATTATTGTATTGCCTGAAAGATTGTCATTGCTATTAAAAGCAGTGAAGAATTTAAGTACGCTATTAAAAGCAGTGAAGAATTTAAGTATATATTAGTTTATAACTTTTTTATGCACTTTGTATATTTTAGTACAATTTATATACTTTAAATAAAATACTCTTTGAAGATTTTTTGTAAATTACATTTTATTTTAATTTAAGTCTAAACAAAAGTTACTTTAATTATTGCCAGGTTGTGTATTTTTGCAGGTCAATTATTTAGCACAAATCGGAGTTAAAGACAAAGGAGATTGTATATTTTATTTGCTAAGAATAGTTTTTTAAAATGGCCTAGTTGTAAAATTAAACTATGCAGGGAGAGGACAAAAAATTTGAATTTAGAAAATGTTGATTGCATATCCTGCTATTGGTAAGTTTATTTTTTCAGTTTCAATTTTGCATTACAGAATTACTTTTAATTTGTTATACTTCTTTGGTGCATAATTAAACAAACAACAATTTCTATTTTTGCAGAAACTGTAAAGTCAAATAAGCATGGCTTATGCAGACATGTGATAGAGAAAGAGGAAGAAAAAATAATAATCGTGGGCACCAAATATCATAAGCTGAACATGATTTAATAACAGGTAGCTTAGCCAATATCGACAATAACTACTCTATAAATTTTATTGTGAATTTTTTTATTTAAAACTCAATGTGTCAGTTTTTGGTTTAAGTTTAGTGTTTGCAATATGTATATTTAACAGATAAGTTACGTTAATTAAATAAATTTTTATACTTGTATCATACATTCTTTTTTTTTCTCTATAAATTTTCAATGTGGTGATGCAAATCATCTTATTTGTAACAACGATCTAATGTTGCATAAAACGTTAGGCCGATATATAACATACGATATTGGGCCAATGTTATATACAAAGTTAGGCCAATTTTGTATACAACGTTGGGTCAATGTTGTATACAACGTTGGGCCAATGTTGTGTACGACATTGGCCTAACGTTATATACAAAGTTGGGCCAATGTTGGGTAAACGTTGTATACAACATTGGGCCAATCTTGTACACAACATAGGGCCAATACCTAACCAATGACCAAACCTATATATATATATATATATATATATATATATATATATATATATATATATATATATATATATATATATATATATATATATATATATATATATATATATATATATATATATATATATATATATATATATATATATATATATATATATATATATATATATATATATATATATATATATATATATATATATATATATATATATATATATATGTATATATATACATATACTTATATATATATATATATATGTATATATATTTATATATATATGTATATATATATATATATATATATATATATATATATATATATATATATATATATATATATATATATATATATATATATATATATATATCCCAGACAGCAAGCTTACATTGGCCCAACGTAAGTTTTAACATTAGCAAGCTTATTCCGTTGGGCCAACATTTAGCCAATGTTTTTTTTCGGCGTATTATTTTCAATTCTGCAAATCGGTTTTTTCCAAATATCGTACTATATTGGGCCAACATTTAGCCAATGCTTTTTTCCGGCGTAATATTGCAATTCTACAAATCAAATTTTTACAATTATCGTATAACGTTGGGCCAACATTTGACCAATGCAGTTTAGGGTTAATATTTTGCTGCTCTTACATTTATGTTGTTGCCAATATTCGGCCAATGTATTTGCGGATTAGTATATATTTTTAAATTTGTTGCAAAACATTTTTAAAAATGGTATTGTGTGACAAAATAAAAAATGGTTTTGACTTTATCTTTCCATTTTTTAAAATTATAAAAAAAAAAAAAAAGAAGGTATATTTATGAATCTTCTTAGAATCTAAAAAGATTCTTTATAAAAGATAAATTTAAAGAGATTCACGTGACTTGATATATTATTTTTAAATAATGAAATATTTGTTAACATTTGAATAACATGCTTAAAAATTTTTTTACTACAATCTAAATTATTAATGTAATAATGTAGGCAATAATCAAATTATTTTTGTTTAAGATTAATGTTATATTTTTATTTTTATTGCTGTATAGACATTTCAAATGTTTGATTAATTTATTAACCTTTATTAAATAAATGAAACATTTCAAATGTTCGATTTATTTAATAAAGAAGACATTTTAAATGTCTTCTTTATTAAATAAATCAAACATTTAAAATGTCATTCAGTATAAGTTTTTTTTTATAATTTATTTATAATAGTTTAGATTATATATTTAGTAGCTATTATAAGATATATTTAGTAATTTTTATAAGATATATTATTAAAGGTATCAATAATATATATGTGGCATTGAAGTTGTTAGAAGCTAATATTTTACATTTTAAATATGTCTCTTTTGTTTGGACTTTTCTGTGTTTGATTGTGAAACACCATCTACTAACATATTAAAACAGTGTACAGAAAGTGTTGTTACAAGAATTAATATTCTACTTATGTTGAGCTTACTGATATTACATTTTTCTGAGGCAGAGGGGCGTTATTTTTAGTTTTATAATTTTTTAATTTAATATCTCTGGATATTTTTCATATTTACTTTGCGTACAACAGTTAACAACTTTAAGCTTATACATTAACTTTAGTTATAACTTAATTTTTAATGATTTGATTTATAGATTTTTAAAGCAATACAAGATTGAATTTAGCAGAAGACTAAACTTCTGCTTTGGAGACAAAAAAGGAAGACAGCGAAAATGACCAGCCAAAATAAAGATTAAAGAGACAAAAAATTGTGTATATCTTAGTGTAGATGATTTATCCTCAATTTCTTATAATTAAACAAAAAATATTATTAAACTTTGGAATTTACCTGTAACTCTAAACTCTTTACAGAAGTTCAATGTTTGCTCTAAGAAGTTGAATGAACAAAATTTATTAAATGGTAAGTTTTTATATAAAAGTCTTTATGTCTGATGATTGAAAATCTTTTTTCATAGGGTTAACTTTTACAATTTTAAAGACTTTTTTATATATTATAGTCAAAAAGTTAGAGTGTTTTTTAATATTTTATTGTGTAATAATCAACATATCAAAGCTTACACCACAGGATTGGTCGGGAAGCAGGATCGATCGCTCTTGAATACTGACCATGGAAATTGTATTTAAGTTTATGAACGTAACAAAAAAGTTTTGTTGAATTTCAAATTTCAACAGTTGATTTCAAATCTATTTGAAATCAACTATTGAAAAAAACAACAGAGTATTAAAATCAGTTTAAAGTTTTAACATTTGCTGGAGGTTCATTATTATTCATTATATAAACGTTTATTTAAGTTTATCTAATAGACGAAGGTAATTCAGTATTTTTGTAGATGATATTATTTTTAAAAATTGTATTAATAAAACTCAGAAATAAAATATGTAAAAAAAATTATTTACAAACATTGGACAAGGTCCGTACTGTACCTTGAAAATCTGGAAAATTTGTTAATATTGGCTAAAGTCGTGTAAAACCTGGAAAAGTCAGGGAATTACTTTTTTTTTTAGATAGTTAGGAAAAATATGTAATTTTAGTTAAGAAGTTACTTGTTTCACAGTTGAATGCTGTATACGTGATGACTTGTTTCACAATGAATGCTGTGTACGTGATGAGTCACACTTATTGTAAAAAAATTTTTTTTTTTAGGAAAAGATAAAATTATAAGATATAATAAACTTTTTTTAAATGATTTTTAAAAATTTTTTCAAATTTTATTAAAAAGATTTTTTTAGATAAAAGAAACAATTTTTAGATAAAATAAAAGTAAAGTTTTTTACAGGAGAAATGTTTTTCATTCTCTTGTAAAATTTTAATTTTGTGACTTGTCACATTTTCAAATACAGCACTCAATTAAGCTATAATGTTTTTTTAGGTGCTACCCATTTAATTTTTCTGAAACTAATGTCTTTCTTAGTGTTCGTTCTTAGTCATCTTTAATAATAAGATCCATACTAACATGTATAATAAGCTCCATACTAATATCCAACTTAACTAATAGCTAAGTTTTAAAAGTTTTGTCATTGAAAGCATGTACAATCTTAGCATTTCCATTACAGTAGATAGTGATTTTAAACATTTTGTAAAAATGATTGTTAAAAAGGGTCAGGAAAATTCATCTGATTTTTCAAAAAAGTCATTGATTTTTATATAAATTGTTTGCTACGAAACCTGTCGGAGAAACATTGTTTTAATATTAATTTTTTTGTTGTACAGTGCAATCTGTATTTTATAAGAAACACAAAACCATTCTCGTCAATATGGACGCTTAAACATTAACGAAAATTGTTTTGTGACAGTGCCAGAAAATAGTTTCATAATTCATAAAAATATTATGGACCCGTTAGCAAGTAAATATTTTTATCATTAAAAATTTGACTTTCTTTCTTTAATTTTATGTTTTATTAGTGATTGTTGTATTTACTTTCGTAAATTCTAAATATAATATGTAATTAATTGTACAGTTTCTTAATAATATAATTAACTTTAATGTTCAAGATAAAGTTGTATCCTTGAAAGATATGCTAGTACTATTGGCACATACGAAAGCATTGAAGTGCAACTTGGTGAAATACAAAACACATTAAATTCAATTATAAAAATTTGAGTAACAAAGGTAATTTTTTTTTATGATCTGTTTAGGCATTTTGTATGATATCTTAGTACAACTTATATACGTTAAATAAAATACTCTTTGAAGATTTCTTGTAAATGACATTTTATATTAATTTAAGTCTAAACAAAAGTTACTTTAATTATTGCCAGGTTGTGTATTTTTGCAGGTCAATTATTTGGCACAATTTGGAGTTAAAGACAAAGAAGATTGTATATGTTATTTACTAAGAATTGTTTATTAAAGTGGCATAGCTGTAAAATTAAACTATACAGGGAGAGGACAAAAAATTGGAATAGGAAAAATGTTGATTGCATATGTTGCTTTTGGTAAGTGGTTTAGAAAAGTTTACTTTTTCAGTTTCAATTTTGCATTACAGAATTACCTTCACTTTGTTATGTTTCTTTGGTGCATAATTAAACAAACAACTATTTTTTTGTAGAAAATGTGAATTCAAATAAGCATGGCTTATGCAGACATGTGATAGAGATAGTGGAAGAAAAATTAATAATCGTGGGTACTAAATATCATACGCTAAACACGATTCAACAACAAGTAGCACAGCCAATATCAAAACTACTCTATAAATTTTATAGTGAACTTTTTTATTTGAAACTCAATGTGTCAGTTTTTGGTTTAAGTTAGGTGTTTGCAATGTGTATATTTAACCGAGAAATTATGTTAAATAAATAAATTTTTATACTTGTATCATACATTCTTTTTTTTCTTTATAAATTTTTAATGTAGAGATGCAAATCATCTTATTTCTAACAACAATCTAATGTTGCATAAAATGTTAGGCCGATATAGAATATACGATATTGGGCCAATGTTGTATACAACGTTAGGCCAATTTTGTATACAACGTTGGGCCAATGTTGTATACAACGTTGGGCCAATGTTGTATACGACAATGGCCTAATGTTATATACAACGTTGGGCCAATCTTGGGTAAACGTTGTATACAACATTGGGCCAATGTTGTACACAACGTTCGGCCAATACCTAACCAATGATCAAACCTGTTTGGGCCAACATCGATTTTCAACGTTGGGCCAATGCATCATCATGCATTGGCCCAACGTTGGTCCAATGTAAGCTTGCTGTCTGGGATATACCCAGTCAGCAGCACTCAATCGGTCCGTTGCTGGCTGGCCAGCTCTGGCGTACCAATTAAGGTCCAACACTAAACTATACCAGGCGCGCCAGTGCTGGTTAGACATGTCTGGACCATAGTTACGCCGATAACGGTTCTCCAGCGCTGGTATGCCGTCGTTGGCCTTACATAGGCCCTATATAGGCGCACCAGCGCTGGTAAACTGTAGGCGGTCCTGCAAAGGTACACCAGTACGCATTTACAGTGCATGTATATTTGTCGTGTGGTCGATCGGCTAAAGGAAGCATGTCATATTAATATTTATAATATTTAATTAGTTAATATTTGAGGAAATCTACAATTACAGATATAGTCTGATTTCAATATATAATAATGATATTATATATATTTATATATATTAAACATTGTATATAATATTATGTTATATATATATATATATATATATATATATATATATATATATATATATATATATATATATATATATATATATATATACTTAAATATAGAAAAAACAACTTTTAATGGAACTTAAAGTTTCATGCCTATCGGCAATCATCAGCCATGAAGTACAAAATCAAAAATATAAAAAACCGTTTAAAAATTACAAAATACAGTAGAATGAGTTCTGACGTCTTAGTCAAGAAGACGTAATGGAAAACTAATCTCCGCTATCAAATAATGAAAGAAGAAATTTATTTTTATGTCTACATTTCGAAACTACTTCGCCTCTTTTATTTAGCAGATTATCTCCTTTGTAAAATAATATTTCAAATTTCTCATTTAAACAAAGCTTACAAATTTTAGACGCAGGATTGTATGATTTACAGCGTTTAATTATATTCCATTTGATTGAAGATGTAAAATTGTTATCTTTTAAATCCCATACTTCCTTAGATAACTCTGTGTCGTTCTTGTACTTTTTTATGTTGAAGGATTTTAGATGGTTTGCATAACGTAGTTTAAAAGAGGTTTCGCTTATCCCAATGTATACCTTATCTTTGTATTGAGGTTTATTTGAGCTTACGGTGGCTTGGTAAACAATGTTGTTAGACAAGCAATTGTTGTTCAGTGGACAAAGAGATTTTTTAATGCAATTGCAGGTTTTTTCTGATAACTTTACATCACCATATAAAATATTTTTGTTGTGTGAGTTGATGATAGATTTAATGTTTGGCATGCAGGAGTAGCTTATTTTAATAGTGTTTCTGTTAAATATTTTGTGTAGGTTGTGGTCTTTAGGAAAATGCTTGTCAATTAGGGTTAAAAAGCGTTGACCAATTTTGGTTGTAACATTTTTACTAAATGGAGGGTTGTACCAGATTATACTTCGTTTGTGGTGATTTTTTGGAACATTTGTTATACTTGGTTTATATGCCAACTTATAATCATATCCCGATTGCTTTAGTGCGTCTTCATAAAGATGTGTCGACTTATTAAAAATAACTTCACTTGATGAGTTGGCGGACAATCTTAGCTCGATATTTTTTGGAAGATTGTTTATTATGTTAGGTGGATGGTTAGAATCAGCATGTACATAACTTAGCTTATTATCAGGCTTGCAGTATGGTTGGAATGAATTTTGAGTAAGATTAAAAGTTAAATCAAGGTAGTTAACAATTTTAAGATTACAATTGATGGAGATGTTGAGATTGTTACGTTTAAAAACTTGAACGACACGTTTTTTTATTTGATCCATTTGATGGCCATTTTTGTTCTTGAAAACAGCTAACCCGTCATCCCGATATAGACCGAAATCATTTTTGTTGTAAAACTGCGAAAGTTGATCTAAAATAAAAATTCCAACTAGTTCACAAATTTCCGCGCCATCATAGGCTCCCATGGTAACATCAAACAATCCTGCTTTTTTCTTAATCCATGATATGCCACCGTTAAAAATGAAAGATTTTCTTGCATGATGTATAATGGATTTGCTTTGCTCGTCTATTGTTATATGTTGTTCGGCAAAAGTAATAGCGTTATTAAGTATTTTTTCATCAATTGACGGATAAAAATCATTTATGTCAAATACTAAAAATTTACAAAGGTGTTTATCATCAATTTTTTGGAACCAATTTATTACATTTTGCGTATTTTGCCATTGGTTTAAACAGAGTCTGGTTCTTAATTCCGAGTTGATATTAGATAAAATAAGCTTTGACAGTCTTCCTACTTCATTCTTTGCAGGATTTAAAAGACGCACAGTAGGGTTGTTTAGGAAGTTGGCTTTATGGTCTTTTAAAAATATAAAACAATCAGCAGTTCCGTTTATCTCGATTCTATTAAAAATATCATGATTTTTTAAAAACATCAAAACTCAATCAAAAATATACCCATACCATCTGAAAAAGAATTTATACTGCAGTTACTCGAGAAAACTGAAGCTCTTATAAAAAGAATGAGATGGAAAGCGCTATTTTTTATTAACAAACAACTCGGTGATACATCTAAGTTCAATGATTATACTAACTATGGAATAAAATCTTCAAAGTGCCCTCCACAAATTAAAGAAATGTCACTATTTGAAAAAGATATAATAAATCTCGTTAAAACTATCAAATTTCGAAATCTCAACAACACATTTCAAGAAAAGGTAAATAATGACATTAAATTTTTACGTAAATCTAATAAAACTTTAACTCCAGCTGACAAAACTTCCAACATGTACAAAATATCTAAAGATGATTACAACCACCTTCTAAAAAACGCAATCACTTCTATTTATAAAAAAGCCGATCCAAAACTAATGAACGTAGTAAATAAAGAAGGTAAGCAAATTTTAAAAAATCATGATATTTTTAATAGAATCGAGATAAACGGAACTGCTGATTGTTTTATATTTTTAAAAGACCAGAAAGCCAACTTCCTAAACAACCCTACTGTGCGTCTTTTAAATCCTGCAAAGAATGAAGTAGGAAGACTGTCAAAGCTTATTTTATCTAATATCAACTCGGAATTAAGAACCAGACTCTGTTTAAACCAATGGCAAAATACGCAAAATGTAATAAATTGGTTCCAAAAAATTGATGATAAACACCTTTGTAAATTTTTAGTATTTGACATAAATGATTTTTATCCGTCAATTGATGAAAAAATACTTAATAACGCTATTACTTTTGCCGAACAACATATAACAATAGACGAGCAAAGCAAATCCATTATACATCATGCAAGAAAATCTTTCATTTTTAACGGTGGCATATCATGGATTAAGAAAAAAGCAGGATTGTTTGATGTTACCATGGGAGCCTATGATGGCGCGGAAATTTGTGAACTAGTTGGAATTTTTATTTTAGATCAACTTTCGCAGTTTTACAACAAAAATGATTTCGGTCTATATCGGGATGACGGGTTAGCTGTTTTCAAGAACAAAAATGGCCATCAAATGGATCAAATAAAAAAACGTGTCGTTCAAGTTTTTAAACGTAACA